CAAACACGATGAGGCCTCACCACAGCCATCATTCATCAAATCGTAGCTCAAGCACTCAGCTACGCGATTCCTATAGAATCTCCACAGTGGGAAACGCCACAATCGATCACCAGTTAGTGAGCCGGCTCTTTGGAATTGCTTCCAAATATAATGCGAGTTAGACCAAATACCCGTGGCCCCGCCGCCTACAGCTTTTTTAATTCCAGAACACATGGAACCGACATCGACCACAAGTCTTGGCTTGTATGTAATTTGACCATATAACATGGGATCGGCTATAACAACGACTCCAGTTCGGCTCACATTTCTTACGGCCATTGATTTCGCATTGAGTAAGGTAACCACATCTCCAGGCTTGCATGACATGCCAGAAGGAAGGTTCTCACACAGAGGCAGGATGGCCGTAATGTTGATTGGCAGCGATAGCGCAGCGGCTGCTCGCATGGATGCCAAGATGACAGCAGCGCCTGCCATATCTCCGCGGCATTCGTCCATACCCTTGCAGTCTCGAAGATTGATGCCACCTGAATTAAAAGTTATACCTTGGCCCACGAGAAGGATAGGCTTGTCCTCTGGTGCGGTACCACAATAGGCAATCTCGAGAAGAACGGGTGGTTCACACGAACCTTTAGCTACCATCAGGAATGAGTTTAGACGCTGCTGCTCAATCCACTCCATAGTCCTTACTTCGACTGTGATGCCACATGGACATAGAGCATCCACAGCGGCCTGCGCAAAGATAGTCGGCGTCATACAGTTCGCCGGAGCATCGGACAAACGTCTAGCCAGATTCTGTGCCTCTGCCTTGAAAAGACCACGTGTCCACGAGTCCATATCAGGTGAGCCGTGCAGCTCCAGTTTGGGAACAAGTTTCCGGTATTTCTTAGATAGGTTCTCATCATATCGCCAAATCGCAAGGGCAGCACCTTCGGCTGCCTGTTCTGGATAGTCCATGTTATCCACGTGTACTTCTATGCACTTCATTGTCTGTAGTGAATGGGCGCCGATACCAGCGGCAACGCGAACATTTTCCATTCCTTCGTCCAGCATTTCTAGCTCATTGAAAGCTATGCCTTCCAGCCCAAGTCCCACAATACAAATGGACCGAAAATCTGCGTCCACATTGTTGAAAACTTTACCGCGTCCCAATCGTCCCGTTATTTTTGTTTCACATATTAGTTCGGACAACTTGCCCTGGACGCGATCATCGAATTTCTCTCCTGCAGGAGTGAGTCTTGGTCCCTTACCGCTTTCCTTTTCATAGAGTCCTACAACAATGCCCTTGCCTCCTTGCTTGTTAGCTTCGCAGGAAGCGAAGCGGAAGAATCCAGACCGAGCTAGGCATCTTGGAATGATTTGCCTCAGGACTCTAGTCATCGACGGTGCGCTCAGCATTCTGAGTTGTCCACGAAATGGAAGCATCGTAATATTTTGTTTGATAAGTGTGTTTTCAAAAATTATTACTTTTTGGATTGTTTCCGCGTTCACAAAAAATATTTTATATCACACTTCACGAATGCAGAAATACTTTTTGTAAAATGACGAAAATTCGAAAATAAAAATTTACTGGAGCACTGATTTACACGTAAAAAACAAACTAAGGACTACCGGAACATACAGAACAAAAGATCTAACTTTGTGTGCTACTGAAAAGTAAATGAAAAATATAATTATTAAAAGTATATAGGATGCTAAAAATACGCAAGGCTTGCTACGATAAACAATAAATATCAAATTTTCAACTAGGGCAAGCTTCGAAACTTCTACGGTTGCTTTTCTTTCAACAGTTTTGTTAACATCAATATTTGAGTTACAGACAGGCAGACTAAAACTGGTATATAAATAAAGGAAGTAACAGTGACGTCGCCGAGAGTGTCCGACTCTGAACAGGACAGACGTGTGTGGCGTATAATTGTTGATTAACTTTTCTTCTAGATGGACCTTCCTAATCAGATTAGGAAAAGTACTTGTAAGTAGTTTATAGTTGTGCAGTATGCTAAGTTTAGAAACTAGTACAGGCTGGAATCCACAATAAGGAAATGGGATGACTGCTTATGCTGTACACAAGTATACATTTAAGTGCCAAGTCTCCAGCTTTTGTAGCTTACGAGATCTGTGCGTTCATACGGACGGACAGACAAACATGAGAAGATCGAGTCAGCTCGTTGTCCTCATCACTATGGGGTCTTTCACGCCTCGTTCTGCCTGTTACATCTATTGTCCCCAAACCATTATTTCATGCGTGCCCATTTTCAATGGCTTCAAGTATAACAAGTAAAAAAATGATAGTCGGGGGTGCCCAAATTACCCTAAACCCCGACTAATCTCTGTTTTTAATATTTTCCATTGGTTATATCTCGCGTAAAAAAAGAAGAAGAGACTTTGACATTGGGTCACCAGGACTCGAAACAACTTCTGCTAAACGATACGCATCAATTCTACCTACACCGCTACTTCATTAAAAACAAAAGTAAAAAATCTAGTCGGAGGTGCCCGAGTAGGAGATCTGTGAACCCGTCCGATCTGCTGACAAATATTTTACATAGCTTATATTCAGCATAACAAAGAAAAACTGACATTCGGATACACAGGACGCATCAGCTCCACCAACACCCCCTCCTTATTAAAACAAAAAAAAAAAGGAAGCACTAGTCGAGATGCCCGACTAGGAAATATCCTAAACCCAGTCCTACTCTCGTTTTTGAATATACTCCATAGCTTGTATCGAGCATTAAATCGAAAAAAAAAAACCGACCCAGATTCTCCTCCTACGCAACACGCATCTCTAGTCGGGGTGTCCGACTAGGAGTTAAACTGATCCCCGTCCTATCTGCGTTTTTTAATATTTTCCGTAGTTTGTATCGAGTATTAAAAAATAAAAATAAAAACTGGCATTACCACAAAAAGATTTGCACCCCCACTTTTTACGCTACTTCATAATTTAAAAAAAAAATAATAAATCAATAAAAACTGTCGTCGCCGCGAGGAGCGCCGCCTTTAACAACGCAGCCACTGCACTGCTTACTCAAGCAGTTGCAAATTTTGAGTTAAGTAGCGGCTAATAATTCAGCACAATTCAATCGCAATTTCGATTCTTCGAATAGAAAAGAATACACGCATTTGAATGTATGTGTGCACACGCATAGGAAAAATGCGTGAGCGAGGCGTTGCTGACATGTGCTTTTGCAAATTGGCCAAACGTTTTGTTTAATAACTTCTGTTCTACTTAATGGATTTTAATGAAATTTTCAGCATATCTACATATTCTATTGGCTTGGTTGAGATGCAAACGTCTTCACATAATGGCCCCAGTTCCAACTAAACTTAAATTCTAAGAATTTGGGGGAATTTGGAGCCGGTATCCAAAATCTAATTGCATAAAATATACATAAAACTAAATACAAAATTCGGAGACTATCTTGAGACGTCCGAGATATAATTTATTACTCTTCATTTCAATAATGTTTTTATTCGATAACAATAAAATGCGAATAGTTACCGAACATTTGAAATAAGCTCGATATGCACGTGCTATACACGGATCTACAACAAAATTCAAGTCTCTAGCTCTTATTTAAGCTGAGATCGACGCGTTCACACATACGGACGGACGGACAGACAAACAAACAGACAAACAAACAGACAAACGGACAGACAAAACGGCTCAATCGACTCGGCTTGTCGTCCTGATCAAAAATAGATATACTTTATGTGGTCTGCCACGCCTCCTTCTACCTGTTACATACATTTACACAAAACCATTATACCCTGATTTCCCATTTTCAATGGGATCAGGGTATAAAATCAATAAAAAATGTCTCCTCCCTTGCGGACCTTTACGAGCATACGAGCGTCGCCTTTACCAACAACGCCACTGCACTGATTATGCAAGGAGTTTCAAATTTGGAGTTAAGTAGCAGCTGATAATAGACATGCAAACTTCTTCACGTATTGGCCCTAATTTCAACTGAACTTAAAATGATCATGTTTTAATGGATAAGAATTAAAATGAAACAGTAATTGTTGGAAATAAAATTTATATGCGCGTGCCCAGACAGATCTACTACAGTTTCTAGCTCTTTTAGGTTTTAAGACCGTTGCGTTCAAACATACGAACGGGCTTACGGACGGACAGACTGACAGACGGACGGACAGACGGAGCTAAATCAACTCAACTTCTGATCTTGATATACTTTATGGGGTCTGCCACACCTCCTTCCGCCTGTTGCATGCATTTCAAGAAACCCATTATGCCCTGTTTTCAATGGGTTTAGGGTACAGTAGAAAGGTAGATTTGTCGCTAATAGCTAATAAACTGTGGAAAATATAGATTTTACGGACATACAAATATTCCCTTTACTTTTTCAGTCACTTTCGCGCTACATTCTATGAATACACTATTGGTCAGTCGTATATGAATAGTGCTAATGGTATGGATGATTATATCATCTACACAGGAAAATAATTCTCGGATTTTCAAACTCACCTGTTAATGTCTAATAGTAAATTCCTTATAGTGTGCGCTTTTAATGGAAGGTCACGGTATTAATGTGGATATTCCTTTGTAACTAGTTGCGTGAACCTTCAACGTATCCGTAACAGAATTATTTACGGAAAAGTGTGATTGCCAGCATCAAACCTGCGTTTCGAATTGTTTAGTCTTGATAATTTGTGTGCGAAAGGTTTTCAAATATTTCAAGTGACATTGAACTAAGTTATTTGTCAAGGTTGCTATGTCTAGAAAATAAATGGGAATAGGAAACTAGACTACTATTATATTATTATACTATATGGCCTTTAACACATCATCTGCTGTTGTCCATAAATATTAAAAGGTATTTGAGGATTATGGGGAGCCTTCGGCCTATGATAAAATAATTCTCAAAATGTTGAGAAATCTTTTTCAGGCTGACAAAGAACAAATACGTTTTCTTGGTGACAGCAACATTTGGCCACATTACTTGCCCACCAGCATAGAGTTAACAATAAAGTTCATAAAGATTGTTTAATTTTAAGTATGCGCATTTATTACTTAAGCTAACGTGAATAGGTGCCGTACATTAAATTTTGATTTGGCAAACTCATCAATTTGGAGCTCCCATTTACTCGTCTTTAACAAACAGATTCGTCTCGTATTTAATGTAGTTCATATGGGAATCAGTAAGAGACGCAAAAGCTCCAGTGAATTGCAGCAAGTTTCGCCCAACAATGCTGCAGACCAGATGCTGCAGATAGAGCAGCTGGACACGAACATGAAGTAGAAGAACTTCCGGCGCCGAGGTGCAAAAGTGTTGCATTACCAGATTAAGTTGAGCATAATTGCAAAATTCATTCATTACGAAGGTCGACAGCCACGGCACACTAAACCAGGCAAATATGCGTTTCGGCAATAGGTCCCACTTAGACGGAGGCTTGACTCTGCTGCGCAACCAGTTCAATTTTACCTCGGTTGCTGCAGAGATTAGATGGGGACGGTCCAGCTTAAGCTCCTCGTCAAAAGTACGTTCTTTTTTTCTATCGACCTCTCGTTGACAAAGCCAGATCCCAATTACGAGCAGAGCAGAATTCATGACTGCTTGCCAAAGCATTGTATGATGATACTCATAGCCCAAATAGAGGTTCAGTTTACGTGAGAGCCGTAAATTGATTGTCTTAATGCTCGCATGGGCCTCAATGGTGGGCTTCAAATGTGCACAGATGTGCAATAAAGTTAAAGCCAAAAATAAACAAACATATGCAAATTTTGATAACATTTTACTAAACGTTTAAGTAGAAACTTAAGTATTCTGTTCAGAATGTCACATTTTGTTTTTGACAGTTAGTGACTACGATAACTTTGCTTCCGCCTCCTGCGCTGCATCTTCGCATACAATTGGCCTGCAGTCACTTTCCTTTAAACAGCGTTTTAACAATATATCCTACAATTTCATTGACCATAGTATCCCGATTGTTTTTGGTTACATGAAAAACGATCGAATCGGACGCTTTTCTAATATCTTCGACAATCGGAATAGGTTGACGTGTTTGTAAGGGTATTGTTGCTAAGATGGGTTGATTCTGGTCACGTAGTTTCTTAATGGCAGTTTCAAAGCGTTTGCTTAACAATTCCATTTTTCCAATTTCGTCAATAATGATCAGCTGTTGTGGCGTGAGAAGTGAAGCCGAAGGTGATGCAAATTCTAAAAGTGGCAATGTCATATTCTCCAAATCCGAGACGAAAACAGCATATTTGCCCACCTTGGGCCGACGTATGTTATCTCCCGGGTTCTCCCTTGCTAAAATTCCACGTGCACCACTCAAAGAAACCACATCGAAACCAATTCGCTGGCCAGACACTCGGACCTCTTCAGTGTAAAATCCCTTCAGTGTGCAATATTCACTCAATTTGCTGCATATTTTGCGAACCAACGTTGTCTTCCCGATTCCTATAAACACATTTTAATTTTAGTAAGCATACAATTATAATTTCAGCGTTTACCTGGTTGTCCAGTTATAATAAAAGCCGTTATTTTGTGGCTTTCCATATGTTCAACTGATTTAATAATTATCGCTTTTATCGATAAATTAAAATGTCACACTTAGAACGTTTTGTGTAGTTTCTCGAATGGAATGACCATACAAATATCAGATTTCTGCTTACAAGTTATATTATCTTGACATATGACATGACCTGAGGTCTATCAGCATTCTATGCACAAATATATTATATATTAAAAACTTTGTGTGCACATTTTAAAAAACAACTTTGCATATAAAACACTCATAAGTATATTATTGAGTTCACCTAGTCGAATTGATATTGGATCATAGGGTCTAGCGTATTCGTCTAATATCTGAAATATATTTCGATAAGACGTTCCCAACTATATCGATATATATCGCGTACTCCATTGGTATACGGTTTTTAAAAATTAGCAAATGTAGTTAACTTAAAATACCATAATTATGAATTAGTCTTTTAATATGTTATGTAAGCAAATAGAGCAACACTGACAAAATTACACAGCACTGGTACTACTATCGTTATCGCTTTACAGCCGTCCCTGTGTGGTGGTGGCTAGACGATTGACATCATATGTTAAATGTGTGTGTTGCTTGGCGGCTTTTTGGCAGCGTGAATTTTCATTTTTGCATTAAAATTTTGATTTATGTTGCGTGACATTAGCGACAACACGCACAAAAATGGAGTGTGCAATGGCGCATGATTTAGAAAATAGTGAACAACGCACAAGCGATGTGGCCACAGGCTCAATTTCTTTTGAACAACTTAATTTAAGTCGAAGCCTTTCAAAATGCCTGCAGGCTCACAAATTTTTGACGCCCACAAAGATTCAAGCAGCCGCAATTCCCATGGCAATTGCTGGAATGGGTAATACTGTAATTATAATTTATATTTAAATATAAGAATAAAGTCTCTTTTTAGATCTGTTGGTGCAGTCAAAAAGTGGAACTGGAAAAACTTTGATTTATGTGCTGGCCGCACTGCAAAAGATGGATAAGTCGGTGCCCAGTCCACAGGCTTTGATAATTGTGCCAACCCGTGAGCTGGCCATACAGGTGGAGGACACTGTTAACGGCTTGACGAACAATATGCGTAACAAAAGTGCTTATCTGGGTGTTAGTTTTATTGGCGGCACTGATGTGAAGCGCGATCGTATGCGTATGGCTCGAGGACGCATTGTAGTGGGCACACCGGGACGCCTGCTTCATCTCATACAGAACAACGTATTTAACACGTCGGCAATCAAGCTGCTCGTATTGGATGAAGCAGATCAATTGTATTGTACTGATTCTTTGCAAAAGGATGTGCAAACGCTTGTTGCATCGCTGCAGCCCGGTAGTCAAATAATTGCATGTAGCGCTACCTATCCGAATGATCTAGACGAGCGTCTAGCCAAATTAATGAACAAACCAGTGCTAGTCTCTAACAGTGAGCGAGCCACCGTACTGCTAGGCGTTCGCCAATTTGTCTATGAATTACCAGCTCAAGCGAACAGTATGCAAGAGATAATGGCTAAGCTGGAAGCGTTGCAGAAGATATTTGCCAAAGTCTCCTATGAGCAAGCTATACTTTTCGCTAGCTCGCAGAGTCGAGCTGATTCCTTTCGAAATTATTTGCAACGGAATGGTATTGAATGTGATCTTATGTCTGGAGCTATGAAGCAGAGCGAACGCTTAGTGACATTCCAGGTACACCAATCATAAATATTTAAATCAGTTCTTTATTTACCTAATATTTTTCCATGTATTTAGGCCTATCGCCACTTCAAAATGCGCACAATAGTAGCCACTGATTTGATGGCACGAGGTGTTGATTCATCTCATGCGAATTTAGTTATTAATTTGGATCCACCCAACGATTTGGTTACCTATTTACATCGCATTGGACGTGCTGGGCGATTTGGCTCCAAGGGCATTGCCATTACATTTATTTCCTCGCCACAACAGTGTCAATCGTTTAAGCGTATTATTGCTGAAGCTGGCACTGGTATGTCGGTGCTGCAATTTCCAACAGATAGTCGTGCAGGCTTCAATTTTTGGGATTACGCTTCATATGATTTTCCCTATTATCTAAAAACCGAGGCGTGTGAGCAAGAGGAAAATGAGCTAAAGCGAATTAAACAGCGCTGGAAGACACCTGGCGATGAAGGGAACGTACTTAATGCAATCGAAATTTCTGATAGGCATTTTGAAAATGATGAAAATACTGCTCAAAATCACACGGTCTCTGTGGATTCGCAGAAATACTTAATTAAAACCAATGATGTGATTAACAATATGGATAAAGAACCAATTGAGGCTAAACAAAAGTCAACTGATGATCTGCTCAGTGTCAAGTCTCAGATTAAAAGTCTCCTGAATGAGCATGAGAAAAAGCTCAATGTATTTACTGTTGAAGAAACACAAGGACATTCAATTATTGAAGAAAATAAGGAAAACATCATAGACAACCAAGTAAAATACCAAGCATTGGACGATGCCAACATAGCTCACAAAGCAACTGGAGAAGTTTGTGGGAAACTTGCAGGACCTCAAGAATTAACAATTGAACTTGTAGAACTAACACCTTCGACAGAAATGCCTGGTGCAGCACCAAATTCAATTAATACAAAAACCTATTGCCTCGTTGCACCTACTGAGAGTACTTCGACTACTTTGCACCCACAGGGCGTATCGAACACAGTCGATGATGCCAGTAGCATTATTTCCGATAGTATGGAGAATGATTATGACAGCGATGCTTCCTACACTAGTTGCTATTCTGATGGCGACTTGCGGATCATCTGGCAACGCGCATTGTCCCAGCAAAAACTGCAAAAGCGACGACAGCGCAATGCCCGACGCCACATCTACTTATATCATAAACGGCGCAATATGCGAAACGTGAAAGAGTGCACCTATGAATGTGACATAGAGGATGAAGGACAACCAGAGGTAATTTCGTTGAAAGTTAACCATGAATTCTACATTGTCAAATATATTAAAAAGAGCTATCTAATTCAGGAATGGCTGGATGAACCGAATGAAAAAGAACTGCACCAGTTACAGGCGGCGCATAGTCAACGACCTCGAAAATTTCAAATAGACGTGAGAAAATTGATCCGAATATATAAGGGAATAATTTAGTAACTTTTTGTTTTACATAACTTTTGTTTTACATTTTCAGAGACAGTTGACTTTAATCTCAAAGGAGCGAAAACTTTTAGTTTTCCTGGAAAAGCTTGATAATTTTCAACAACTTAAAAAAGGCTTTTACACTCTTCTCAATAGAAGGAAATTTGATGCACAATGGTCTGCCAAATGGACAGACCTAATATACGATTCTATATGCCACTTGTACTATGTGGATCATAGCAAGTCAAAGCAGTTAAAGAAATGCAGCTTGCCGAATATTCCCAATTTGGACAACTATAATAGGCTAATAGATATCATTAAAGGACGTTCTTGCTCACAACAGCCATTAAGCAAGCTGAGCGTGCATGTTAATCAACAACTAAATATACCACCTGACAATGGAGGAGGAGCCAATAATAATGCTGGCGATGCTTACTCTGTGAATTCAGATTCAGGGTCATCCTATGTGCGGCGAGAGGTATTGGTACCCGATATCAATGAGAACAGCGAGAATGACAGTGAGGACGCTGATAGCCTGGAGCCGTATTCATCGAGCGGATTTGTGGAATCAGCTGAGAGCGCATCCTCGGGCATTGATACTTCGCAGTATGAAACAAATTCCTCTATTACCTTGGATTCGAATGCGTACGAGGGAGAGGAAGAGGCTACTAATGATGATGATGATGAGGCCGATGACGACTCTGACGAATTGAGCAACGCTAGTCGGACGGACACTGCGTCATTGAGTACTCTTACAGCGGACAGCGAAGATAATGGCGATGAAATATGTACTGAAACCGAAAGTGAGCAAGAGAATACGGGAAGCGCTGCGAATATAAGCAATGAGCTTGCCGTAGCTCAAGCTCGCTGGCAGTATTTATTTCAGATGCAGTATCAATTTATTGCTAGCTATGTTAGCAATTATATGGCGACATATCGCAGCCAGAATTAAGTACTTTTTTTCATATTCAAGCGCTATGAAAGCGCGATTCCTAGTCTCGAAAGTCTGACAACTACAGAAACTCAGGCATTATATTTTCTTTTTGAAATGAAATGGAATACTTTCCAAAAAAATGCTGAATCAGCTATTTGTAAATTAGTTACTAAAGTGAGCATTTCTTGCTATAATATGAAATGTCGGTACAAACGGAGTAAATCATATTCTAAAGAATTACATGAATATATCTTTCGTTATAACAAACTTGTAAAACCACCAATAATTAAATTGCAAATGAATTGCAAAATCATTTTATACTTATTTTTCTAAAAATATAATGTGAAAAAATGATGGAAACTAAAATCAATTAATTTTAATGTTATGAAGTGCGAGACGCATGCATGTAATTTAAAGAGTTAGTTTGCTACTCTTTAAACAAATATGAAACAATATGCGTTTCTTTATTCAATATTTATTATTGTTTATTCAAATATCTGCATCCAATATTTGAAAGATTAATGAATTTGTAAAACTTAATAAGTAGTCGAAGTGAACTTCGATCTTGCACGTAAGTGTTTTAGTTATTAATATTCAAAATGTAGTCGCATAGTTAATAAATATGTCATTACTAATTGTAATTTTTGATGAATTAAAAAGTTAAGCACGAATGCTTTAAAAACTTCTTATGAAATACATAAAAATGTAATTCAAACTTTAGAAATACTGCAAGCTCTTAAGAAAAGATATAACTGGGCTTATTTTGTATTAGTATAAGCTGAGTCAGATGGTTTGGATGTAGAGTACTTCTTTAGTTACAACTGACCTAGTCAGTGTGATTTCCATCTAATTTGTATGCCTATTATTTAATGCGATTCATTCACTTATAATCTGAATAAAAAACTTTTTTAAGTTTGTCTTGCTGTAGGGAAAAGTTAATCAAAAGTCTCTCTCTGATGTTTGTACTCGTTCACTACGTAAGGAGTATATTGGCTTTATACGTAGTCCTTCAATTCCTCAGTATATAACGATTTGATATTTCGATATTTAAGAAGCTCTTATTTGAATTAAATATATAGATATAGTTACATATCACAAGGGGCAGCTAGTTTCTTTAGTAGTTTTAAATTGATTTGAAGATTATATTATAAATCATATGTAATCGAAATAGTTGCCTCATCAGCCATATCTTTGTGATTGTCCTTTTATGCCGGTCAATTGCCACATGCCACATGCTACAACAGTTGCGTTGGTGGCACAGTGGAAATACTCGCCCTCCAGCTATTGGGCACGCAAAGCGTCTACACCGTTCCCGATGCTGATGCCGCAGCCTCTGCTCGCGTGCAGTTGCGTTCCAAATCCAATAAGGAGCGTGAGAAACTGACGGCATGAATGCAAAGTGAGCTGAAACAGCTGGCCACGACAAAATTTTATAGATGTTAGTTGCATTTGTCGTTGCTGTTGTTGTTGCTGTTGTTGGGGCTTGTTGCTTGTGCCTAGCCGAACTCGGTTCGATTAGCGATAAAGCCAAGATGCGAAAATATGTGTTGTGCGTTGTGGTATTTGTTGTTGGTCAGCTGACTTTGCGGCTGCGAACAGTTGCAGGTGTTAAGCTTTATAATGATGTTAACATTTTTATGGCCCACAATAACAACAAATGCTGCAAAATTTGTTCAGCCCAATCAGTTTTTGCGGTCGGCCGTCTATGGGCACAAACCATTTAACGCTCATAAGTGGAATGCTCTGCTGCGGCTACAGTTAAACTAATACTCATATTTGTAAAACTAATTAAAATTTCAGAGGATTGGCGTATATTTATGAGCGAATAACTTGATAATTAAATAAATGTAATAAATGTAGTCAGGAGCTCCATACTTATATGGGGAATTCACTTAAAGCAACTATTTTTTTCTATTTAGTGTATTCTTGAATAATTGGTATTTTTTTATTATTATTATTATTTATTTATTATTTATGTATTCAAAATTATACCAGGAGGATACGTCACCTTCTACATCAATATCCAAAAGTTAATATAAAAATCAATAGCTTTAATTATTCAGGCATTGTCGGCAAACCAACGTTCGAATATCCGATTAAGTCTTTAGTTTATTTGTATATAACAAAAGTCTGATTTTTTTCTGTATTGTTAGAAGTTTTTGTTGATCAATAAGTCATATTTAAAATACTCCTCAGTTAATGGTGCCTATGAAGAGCAGGCCCATGATTAATTTATTAATTATTGAATGCTAAAATCTATTTATATGGTACACAGCTTTGCGTCTGTGGTTTCACCAGAAACAATCGAAGATCGTATCTTTGTATTTCTTAGCATTATAACATTTTGTGACCTAGTGAATTTGCTTCAAGCAGTTGGGACTGCAACGTCTTTGTTGTCTTTCGAGGAGTGGCCCGCCCATATTTATGTGACCAGCTGTGTGACGGCTCGGCACGCATACATAAATAAAAGTCATCATTAATTAAATTTAGTACAAACAACATGGCATGCCTGCAATTATTCACTCAACTCAAGTGACGAAAAAATTTACGAATATGAACAAAAAATATATATAAAATAAGATAAAACGCCAGTGAAACGCACGCGACGACGAGCGAACGACAAAAAACGCGCACAAAAAAGAGCGTTGACAAAAATGATCTGTGGGCAATTATAATGAATTATTTTGACACTTAGGGCTTGCAATGCACAACTAAAAATGCATAAGCCTAATTTATGCTTCGCTGTCAACATGAAACGCATTTTATTGCTTTTTAAATATGATAAATAAACATGCCGTTTGGCCCAACAACAACAACATTTTGGCCTTTATTTATGCAATTGCAAAATAGTGTAAGGAACAGCCATTACAGCGTACATAAATTGAAACCTACGCAACTATTTGCCGCCAGTGCAGCGTGCCATGTGCAACAAAACAAATTGTATTTTTCACCTAAGTGCCGCCAACAACAACTGTTATGCATACAGCTGGGAGCACGCCCAGGTCTCTGTGGTGGCAAAGCCGTAAAGCCTTGTCGGGAGAATCCGTTTTTTAATTGGTAAAAAATAGCTAAAATTGTCTACGCTGATTTCATTTTGCCGACGCTTCGATGCAGGTCTTGCCCCAAAGGGTATTGCAAGTAGCTACGCTCTGACCATGCATGAATCGCAACAGCTCAAGCAACAGATGCACACCAACAACAGCAACAGCAACAGCAATAACGACAACAACAATAAAAACAAACAATAAAAAGCTAGCGGCTTATACGAGATTAACATCGCCTCCCAGATTTGTAATGCTAATAAATTGTACACATTATAGAGCAGAGCGATAAAGCATCTGTGCGAAAGAGACACAAAAAGAGGGTGTGAGATAGTGCACGAAAAGCAACAAGTTGTTGGGTCAGTGCTAAATCAATACGCGAATTAAGTTATAAATACTTTTTAAAGTCTATGAAGCAATGAAGCAATATTTTACTCCCATATCCCTTACACATTGCTAACGGCTGAAGTTATAAATCACTGTCTCTATAACTTTAATATATATCAAGTTCTAGTGAATTTCAGGTGATGATCTTAGAAGTGGACAATTCATTCGAAAAAATATCATTTTAAAATCTGGTTAATATTTAATATAGATGGCCATTTATTGACGACAGTATATATATTCACATAAATTAAAATTAATTCACATAAAGCGAGAAAAATATAGAAGAGCATAGACGGAAAATATTTAAGATTCAGCATCGTAAAGCTTAAAGTGCCTTTCTATTACAAACATGGGCATTAAAAGAAATACGAGAGGAGTTTGAATAACCTTGAGACTTTTTTGAAAATGGCAGAAAAAATACCCGAAGCTAGGTGAATTCCCATCTGTTAATAACAAATATATATAGTGAATATATTCTACATATTTAGAATTAACTAATTGCAATTCAAGAATCCTGAATATTCTTATATAACTGTTCCTGCTAATGCTTAATAACATCCTGTTAAGTTGTTAGTATACTAAAAAATAAATAAGAAAATTAGTAATACCCCTGCGATTTAAATTACTTTTATGCAGTGCATGTATACGCTTTTATCTGTTGCCCTTTGGCATCAATTGACGCATGACATCGCACAGTGCTGTGCCGGCTGCAATCGAAAAGCCGCGTGACTTTTAGAACGTCAAAGCCGGCGAATGTGCGGCTTTAAATGGAGGCAACCCCAACTCGAAATGACTTGACTGTCGAGCTCCAAGTGCGGCTTTTGTGGTTCCCAGGCGACTTAGAGCGAAAAACATGCTAGTCGCTTTAATTGTAGCCGCCGCAGCAAAGTGATTTTTCTAATGCAATTTTCAATGGCTTACGCAACAGCAACAATAGCAGCAACAACAACAATGGCAACATGTTGCTGTAGTGAAACCTACCGCTGACTTGGACGTATTGTGCGCATAATTACCCAACATTGCAGCAGCAGCAGCTTTTCAATCCCAGCAAGAAGACAGAGCCGCTCTGGCCGCTACTAATGTTCTCTCCACTCTTTGGCAGCGCAGTGATAATCATTCCACGCATACGCGCATATTTTGCATTTTTAAATTGTTGCATTATGCGCATTTTGATGACAAGTAAAACTCTCGCATCAAATCCACGGCGACCACTCAGTGAATGGCATTTACCTGAAGACGAATACCTGCTCAGCTCTTTGACTGTCTGCCGGCGTTCGATTCATTTGTTGTTTACCGCACACACAAGCAAACACACACACACACACAACGCACCTGATCATAATTAAAATTATAAAATAAATTAAATGCACAAAATATTTTGAGTAGTTTTGTGGCAATGTGAAAGAGAAGTTGAGCACGTGAAAGGTATTTATATATATAATTTATATAATCATATATATTTTCATTTTGACTAATATATTGCCAGTGAAAATCATAAACTAATCAGAATCACTCAAAAAAAAGTCTTATTAAAATAAAAAATGATACAATTTGTTAGGCAGAGTGCGTTTAATTAGCTTCCATTTTATATTGATCTAAATTTCTTTTTAGTTCAAGTTTCTTATAAGTATTTAATTCAACTACTCTAACAATTTATATACATATATCAAAGAATTGTTTTCTCGCAGGTAAAGGCAATTATCTAATGTTTCTTCCTAACAACACCCGCTTCTAAGTACCTAGTGAATTATAGTTAATTATAGTCCAACGGCAATTTATTGTATTTTTTGTTGCTGCAATTGTTAAAATGTAAATTGGAATTTAATGTATATTTTTACGAAATCTAAGTCAATTATATAAATGAAGCATGAATTAGCAGCAG